AAAAAATGACTTATTCCCAAAGAGTGAACTCCAATAGCAAAGTTTCAGAAATCTTATAAAGCCAGTGAAGACTTTTGAGGGTGAGGGCAGAAGGTTCAGGAGTCATTCCTAGGTGTCACCTCATACCAAATAAGTCCCACCATCACCGCCTGTTCTACATGAGCCTGTGGAATCTGACAAGTAAAGGGTTTCCTAGGAGAACTGATGAGAATAGATTGACAGCAGGGTTCGTGCACAAAGGAGAAGACAGAGGAGCATGGTGGCCAAAGAATGTGGAAGTCTGAAACTCAGAGCTGCTTCCTAAGAAGGTCAGGAGGTCTGGGCATAAGACAGGGTCAGAAATGCCTGCCATGCTTGGCTCTGACCCTCTGCCTGTAGGGTCTTCCAAGAGAAAAATAAGCTAACTTGGCACTGGTATTAAACAAGCAAACAGAAATAATGTAATGTAAGGATTTCACTGCATGTTGTGCTTAGAGTATTTAGCTGCAGGGAGAAGCAAGTAGAGTTGTGCCTAAAAGGTTTTGCTACAAAAGATGTGGGAATTTAAGGATTTTAGCTACAGAGGGTACTGAGTTCAGAGACATAACTACTGAGACTTGGGCTGCAGCTGAATTTGTGTTCTGGGGTGTTGCTGCATCTCAACGGGTGCTCAGACGGGTTTGCTGCTATGGATACTGCCTGTCTATACCTGCGCATCACCTCTGAAGGTTCAGGGAGTAGAATTTGAGAAAGGGCAGTAGCTACCTCCGCTCTCCTGTTATGTATTCTATATCACAGAATCTGTTTTTGCAGTAACTTTGCCATGATTTTATTTTTTTAACTTTAGTTGTTGTTGTTGTTCAGTTGTTTCAGTCATGTCCAACTCTTTGTGACCCCATTTGAGATTTTCTAGGCAAAGATACTATAGTGGTTTGCTATTTCCTTTCCCAGTTCATTGTGCAGATAAGGAAACTGAGGGAAGGATAGTTAAGTGACTTGCCCAGGGTCATACAACTAGTAATGGTCAGAGACAAGATTTGAACCCCTAAAGATGAATCTTCCTGACTCCATGTCCCGCCCTCTACTTAGTAAGCCACCTAGCAAAGGGATATTTACTGAGAAGATATAGGAAGAATGGAAGTACCCAGTCTCTTTCCAATCTCTGGGGGCACACTCTAACCACCTTGGGCCTTGAAGAGAGAGAGCTCTAACTTGCAGCAATTCCACATTGCACTTTCCTCTGCCAAGTTCACTTCAGAATTCTAGGATGAGCCCCCTAACCCTTCCTCTAGGCTGCCCTCCATGCTCTTCTATGCCAGCTCCAGAAGGTGTCTCACAACTTCACTCCTCACTGGGATCAGCTACCCAAAATATCTGCCATTGACTCTGGCTCCCTGATCTCAGACTCACTCTCCCAAACATTTTCAAGCTCACAAGGTCAGAACCTGAACCTCCTCTGAAAGGAGAAAAGAACAAATGCAAAGAAGGAGGGGCAGAGCCCTGTCTTCACTGGCCACATTTAGGGTGGCCTGGTATCTGGGGAGACAGGCAGCTAACAACAGAAAGCCACTGCTAGGATCTCCCTCAGAAACAGTAAAACCATGAATTGAATGGTTCATGGTGGTTTTTCAGGGGAGAGAAGGCCTGAAGCTTCTGTCCCATCAAGAGGAGCACAAGGGTTCATCTTCATTACTTGCCACCAGGGTACAAAATTATTGGCCAATGATTTTACCCAAAGATTTCTGAGCTATAAGACATAGACAGGAGGGATACAAAGACTTTAAATACTTTCAGAAAGGTGGTTTGTATTTTATTTTTTGAGGACACAAGATAAATTTGAATTGTGGGTGAAAGGTTTTTCACTTCCTCCTTTTTTAGTGGAAAAGAAAATGTTCTCTTTCCTAGAAGACTACATAGTTATATAGACAGAATTATTTGGGTGGATACTCCAGCAAGTAGAAGGTTCCTTGATTTACTGATAGTGAACCTAGGACTGGAGTGGATTTGGAGAGTCCAAATGGACAAATCCCAACTCAGTGGCAGTCTTCTGAAGATGAACATTCTGGTCTGGAGAACAGAACTTCCCAAAGTCACACAATTACTAAGTACCATAGCCAGAATGAACCCAGGCCATTCTTTGACAATCCACTTAACTAAGCTCAGAAAACAATGGGCCCAAATCTGTGCCTCTCCAAACTTCTTAGGATATCTCCTGGGAAATACACCTATAGTCATAGAGTCTTGAAAAGTTATAGCCAAGAAGGCTCTTAAAGACCCTACAATCCCTATTATTCTACTTTACAGATAAGGAAACTGAGGCTCACAGAAGGAGAGGTAACTGGATCAAAGAGAAATAGAGAGTAAGGAGTAGAAGAATAGAATCCAGGCCTTTTGATATCTCATTTAGGAACCTGCCCCCTAGCTCTTAAGGCCTTGGGCAACCAGACAGAAGAAAGTGTCTCCTGCCAGTAGGACAAATCAATTCTACACAAAACACCATTATTCTTTAAGGTTATCTGGTCCAAATATTATGGGGAGCAAGAATCTCTTCTATGGCGGCTGGGAGAGTTAGCATGGGCAGGGGGGTGGAGCAAAGATGGCAGAGTAAAAGCAGTGACTTGCTTGAACTCTCCCCCAAACCCCTCCAAATACCTATAAAAAATGGCTGTAAAAAAATTCTAACATTCTAACACAGCAGAATGCACATAAAGACAGACTGAAACAAATTTAAAGCCCAAGATAGCCTGGATGATAGATCAGAAAAGTATATCATGCCAGACAGGGAGAGGAGCACAGGTTGGCATGGGCCCTCAGGCAAACCAGGCCTCAGGGAACCTGGAACAGGCCTCAGAGGAGTGAATCGCAGGCAGCTGTGGTGATTTCCTGACTTCTCAACCCACAAATGCCAAAGACAACTAAGAATGTCAGTGGGAAAAGTCTGTGTCTTTGGTGAGAGAGAGAAGCGTGGTCCCAGCCACAGTCCACAGGTTGGTCCCAGGGCAACAGCTGCTTCCAGAGCTTTTGGCCAACAGGCTGAGGGGGAATCGAGTGGCTGATCAGAAGGGGATTGCAAGATTCTCTCTACTGGTGCAGTATTCTCTTGCTTTGCCCATGCTTGGATCTGGGTCACAGTTCTTGGTGGCAATCCTGGGGTAAGGAGGAGCACTGGCATGGTGGAGCTTGTAGTGGCGGTGGAGAGAGAATGCTCCTTCCAGTTCCAAGACAGAAAAGAATGTTCATTGTCACTCATAGACCAGAGCACTGGCCAGGAAAGGAGGAAACACCTTGCCCTTAATCATAGCACCTTGAAAGAACTTAAAATCTACAGGTCCCTAGAAATATCTCTGAAACCCCCGAAGCCTGGGACAGTACATTCTCCACACTGGAATCAGACCCCTACCTTAACAAAGAGTTCATAACTCAACTAATTGACTGAGTTCATGGTCAAGAAGCTCAAAAAGAGTCAGACCATAGAATCTTACTTTGGTGACAAAGAAGATCAAAACATACAACCAGAAGAAGACAACAAAGTCAAAGCTCCTACATCTAAAACCTCCAAGAAAAATATGAATGGGTCCTAGGCCAGAGAAGAACTCAAAAAGGATTTTGAGAAACAAGTAAGAGAAGTAGAGGAAAAACTGGGAAGAGAAAGGAGAGTGATGCAAGAAAATCATGAAAACTAGTTAACAACTTGCTAAAGGAGACCCAAAAAAATACTGAAGAAAATAACACCTTAAAAAACAGCCTAACCCAAATGGCAAAAGACGTCCAAAAAGCCAATGAGGAAAAGAATGCCTTAAAAAGCAGAATTGGCTAAATGGAAAAGGAAGTCCAAAAGAACACTGAAGAAAATACTTTCTTAAAAATTAGAATGGAGCAATTAACTTTATGAGAGGTAGTG